ATCCACTCCTCCCATCTCTGCCCAAATCATAGAATCACAGAATTGGAAGGGACCCCAAGGGCCATCCAGTCCAATCCCAGTCTACAATGCAGGAATACCCAATCAAAGCAATCCCAACAGATGGCCATCCAGTCCATGTCTGAACACCTCCAGAAAAGGAGACTCCATTGGACACGGCTAAACAACTCTTACCATCAGGGATTTCTTCCTAATGTTTTGGTGGAATTTCTTTTCCTGCAGTTTGAAACTCTTCTTGCTTATTGTTGTTGTTGTTATTATTCAATACACAACAAGATTAGTACACAACAAGATCGCTGTGCTGGCTGTTGTATTTGATCACACATCAGACATTTCCCAAGTGTCTAGAACTGTGTGATGTATCGGAAAATAATGCATGCAGATCCGAGTAGGATGGCCTTTTGCAGTTGACGGATTTTGTCAGCGCCGATTGTGTTTAAGTGCAGGCCAAGGTCTTTAGGCACTGCACCCAGTGTGCCAGTCATCACTCGGACCACCTTGACTGGCTTGTGCCAGAGTCTTTGCAGTTCGATCTTTAAATCCTCTTATCATATCAGCTTTTCCAGTTGTTTTTCTTCAATCCTGCTGTCGCCTGGGATTGCAACATTGACAATCCATACTTTGTTTTTTAACACGATCATGACAAACTCTGTCTATCTAAATCCGGAAGTCCCAGAGTAGCTTGACGTGTTCATTCCCTGTAACTTTTTCTGGCTTGTGATCCCACCATTTCTTTGTCACAGGCAGATGATATTTGTGGCAGAAGTTCCAATCTGAGCAACGGTGTTGTGCCTCTGCTTATAGTCTGTTTGCGTGATCTTCTTGCAGCAGCTGAGGATGTGATCTATTGTTTCATCTGCTTCCTTGCAGAGTCTACACTTGGGTTGTTATTGTTATTATTATTATTATCATCATTATTTATACCCCATCATACCCGTATTTAGATACTCTTTTCTAGTTGAGACCTGCCTTGCGACACAGGGACATGAGAGAGCCTTTGGAGAAGATTTCAGCTTCCAGTTGGAGGATGTGTGGCGTTAAGAGACAATTAGAATACTCTAACATTAATGAATGGCAAAAGAGCAAGGCTCTTTGCTTCCTGCTCTGCCATACTCTTGCTTTTCACACTTTCAGGAGCCTGGATGCAGGAAATGAAAGTTTGAAAAGCTCCGGGCCAAGTTGAACTACGGGAGGGCAGCATTCACCTTGCTATTTCTGCATCAGGAGAAGGGAGAGAGTCTTCCCATTGTGCCAACTTTTGAAAATGCCAAAGAGAGGTTTGGCCTCTTCCTGCTTGCCTTGCAGAGGGACCAAGTTGCCTTGCAGAGCCCTGCACATTGAAGGAGCAAGCTCAGCTATAAGGAAACTTGCCGCCCAGCTTGGATACTTGGTTCTTCCATCAGAAAAAAATCCCTGCTTTTTGGGGAATGAAGAAAGCACTATTTGGTGGACTTCAAGAAAAATCCTATTTGTATCATCAAGAAGGAACCAATTTGGGATGGAAGAACCAAGTGGAACCGTCACCTTGTTATTGTTTCTTTAACTGCCAGAAAAGGAGAATTAGCTGAGAATTAAGTGTCAATTCATTCACTAGATGAATTTCACCTTAAGAACAGACAAGCATCCCGAGCTCTGAGGATTACCTGGGAAGGAATCCCATTGGAGCATTGCAGCGCACCCAAATACCTGGGAGTCACTTTGGACTGTGTTCTGACCTACAAGAAGCACTGCCTGAACATCAAGCAAAAAGTGGACACTAGAAACAATATCATACGCAAGCTGACTGGCACAACCTGGGGATCACAACCAGATACAGTGAAGACATCTGCCCTTGCGCTCTGCTACTCTGCTGCTGAGTATGCATGCCCAGTGTGGAACACATCTCACCACACTAAAACAGTGGATGTGGCTCTTCATGAGACATGCCGCATTATCACGGTGTGTCTGCGCCCTACACCACTGGATAAACTACACTGTTTAGCCGGTATTGCACCACCTGACATCCACCGGGAAGTAGCAGCCAATAGTGAAAGGATCAAGGCAGAGACATCTCCAGCTCATCCCTTGTTTGGGTATCAGCCAGCATGTCAACGACTTAAATCAAGAAATAGTTTTCTAAGATCTACAGAGACACTCAGCAAGCAAGAGTCCAAAAGTGGGAGGCTCAAATCCAGAACCTCAATCAGTGACTGATACCAAATGAGAAACTCCCCCCTGGGCACACAGAAGACTGAGCGACTTGGAAGGCACTGAATTGACTGCGCTCTGGCACCACGAGATGCAGAGCCAACCTCAAGAAATGGGGCCACAAAGTGGAATCCACGACATGCGAGCAGAGAAGAGCAAACCACTGACCACCTGCTGCAATGCAACCTGAGCCCTGCCACATGCACAATGGAGGACCTTCTTGCGGCAACACCAGAGGCACTCCAAGTGGCCAGATACTGGTCAAAGGACATTTAATCAACTACCAAGTTTGCAACCTTTGTGGATTTTTTTAAACCTGATTGTTTGTTTTGTTTTTTTAGAAATCTAATACAATGGTCTGGTTTGCCCCTGACACGATAAAAAAATAATAATAATTCACTAGATCACACAATATGAATTATGTTGTCCTCCAGATGTTGCTGGACTGCAACCCCCAGCATTCAGCATCATTAGCTTTGCTCCTGCTGGAAGTTGTAGTCCAACAACACTTGGACAGCAGTAAGGTTTCTGTCCATTCACCAGATCAACACAAAAGACTCCGACATGCCATTCAGCTCCAACTCCGTGCTCTTCAATGCAGATGGCAATTGCATGGCTTCTCCAGATATTGTTGCACTACAAATCCCAGCAGAGCCAACCCAAGTCCATTAAAGATGCACCTACTTGGCATTCCCCAACACCAGAAAGGAGTAACTTGCTTTTGGCCAGAAGTGAAACAAGTCAAAGAATGTACATCTTTGGGGCAAATGGGTGAAATTTTCCCTGTGTCCCTAACACAGTTGCCTCACGTTTACCATGCATTCATGGAGTCAATGAGCCTAGTAGGAACAAATACTTGGACTGGGCCATGCATATGTTCAGTGGGTAGGAAACAGTTGCAAAACAGAATGGAAAAAGGCAGAAAAGAAGGAACTGTGGGGAGCATCAAAGACCAGAATGGTTTTCTGCCGCAATATTTTAGCAGTGGCTTTTAATTCTCTATTCAACCAAACCTTAAATTCCCCTATTTCGCATGGAAGAAGGGAAAGATATTCTCCCCAAGCAATGTGTCCTTGCCAGCCTGTTCTTGTGACTCAGAAGCAAAGGCAGCTCAGTGGGTACATTAGTCACGTTTCTGGAGACCGTTGTTCCCTTCCGTTACGTTCCGGCTGGAAAGGGACACCAACCAAGTCTCCTTTGCACATATAACATGCACAACACGTGCACAAAGGCATGCATGTGTATGTGTAGCGTAGCCTGCATAGCCTGAGGATCAGGCCCGGACATTGAACCCCAATATATGGAGTCGTACTAGTCTCCCAAGCATCTCTAGTCTGAGAGAAGACATGACAGCCCTGTCCTAAGGAAGAGGGATCAGGCTTACTCTGGAAACTAGGACTCAATGGAGCCCTGCGTTCAAGTGACAGGAAAGGAGATTCCACTTGAACATCAGGAAGAATGTCCTGAACTTAAGAGCTGTTGAGCAGTGGAACTCTTTGCCTTGGAGTCTGGTGGAACCTCCATCCTTGGAGGCTTTTAAACAGAGTGTGGATGGCCATTTGTTGGAAGAGCATTAATTGTGCTTTTCCTGCCTGGAAGAATGGAGTTGGACTAAATGGCCTCTGGGGTCTCTTCCAAATTTATTATTTGTTTGTGTTGTGTTTTTTTTTTACATCTTTTTGGTGTCCCTGCTTGGCCATAGAAACTCAATGACCTTAGGGACACTCTGAGGAAATACTGGGATACTGTGTCCAGTTCTGGGCACCGCAATTGAAGGGAGATGTTGGTCTGTTTTAATACATAAGATTGTGCTAACAGGTTATGTTTATTTTGGTGGTGCAGTGGGTTAAACCCCTGTGCCAGCAGGACTAAAGGCCAACAGATTGCAGGTTCGAATCCGGGGAGACCGCGGATGAGCTCCCTCTATCAGCTCCAGCTCCTCATGCAGGGACATGAGAGAAGCCTCCCACAAGGATGATAAAACATCAAAAACATCCAGGCATCCCCTGGGCAACGTCCTTGCAGACGGCCAATTCTTTCACACCAAAACAACTTGCAGTTTCTCAAGTCGCTCCTAACACAACAAAAAAAAAGTTTGTATTTTAATGGCTGCTGTGTATGTTTTATGTTTGCTTTGTGGAAACCGCCCTGAATCCCTTAGGGGAGAGAGAGCAGTATATAAATATTTATTTATTATTTTATTTATTATGTTGACAAGCTGGAATGTGTCCAGAGGAGGGTGACTCAAATAATCAAGGGTCTGGAGAACAAGCCCTATGAGGAGTGGCTCAAAGAGCTGGGCATGTTTAACCTGCAGAAGAAAAGGCTGAGAGGCGACACAATGAGAGCCATGTATAAATATGTGAGGGGAAGTCATAGGGAGGAAGCTTGTTTTCTGCTGCCTTGGAGACTAGGAAGCAATGGAGCAATGGCTTCAAACTACAGGAAAGGAGATTCCATCTCAAGATGAGGAAGAACCTCCTAACTGTGTGTGAGAGAGAGCTGTTCAGCAGTGGAACTCTCTGCCCCAGAGTGTGGTGGAGGCTCCTTCTTTGGAGGCTTTTAAACAGAGGCTGAGTGGCCATCTATTGGGGTGCTTTTAATGTGTTTTTCCTGCTTCTTGGAAAAATTGGGTTGAATTGGATGGTGAACAAGGTCTTTTCCAACTCCAGGATTCTATGAAAACAATGGCAAAGCTCTTCTGAACAAATCCTGGCCAGAAAATCCCACCGTTGGTTCAACGTAAGTTGGAAACAACTTCAAGTCATGCAAGAAATGTGCCCAAAGCGGCTCACCTCTCTTGCGCCACCAGGACCCTTCGCGGACGGAGTAGGACAGGTCGGCGAACTCGATGTCCACGGCGGAGCGTTTGGGGAGGTGGGAGAAGCGCTGGGCATCCGTGATGTGGTTCTCCACCTTCTTCAAGTGAGTGGTCAAAAGAGGGGCATCCTGGGCCCCCGAGTTGCAGACGGCGTCCTCCAAGGCGATGGAGACGCAGGCGGGGTCCAGGGTCTTCTCAGCCATAGTTGCCGGGCTGTAAGTCCCACAAGGAGAAGAGCAAGAGAAACCATCAGGGCGGAAGGAGGCTCCTACAACTGAGCAGCCTTTACTTTTGCAGATTGGATTACCATGTTCTCTTTATCACATTGAGAAATTTCCCTCTGGTAGGACACTTCAACCTCTTTTCAAGTATGGAGAGGCACGGAGCTCATCACATGAGTTAAACTACTTTCGGACGTTGTACATAACCCTCCGTAGTTGGAAAGAGGCAGAAGTGTCCTGAAAGAAGGAAACTTCAGCAATCACATTGAGATATTTCCCACTAGTAGGACACTTCAGCCTCTTTTCAAGCATGGAGAAGCATAGAGCTCATCACATGTGTTAAACTACTTTTGGCCGTTGTGCATAACCCTCCGTAGTTGGAAAGAGGCAGAAGTGTCCTGAAAGAAGGAAACTTCAGCAATCACATTGAGATATTTCCCACTAGTAGGACACTTCAGCCTCTTTTCAAGCATGGAGAAGCATAGAGCTCATCACATGTGTTAAACTACTTTTGGCCGTTGTGCATAACCCTCCGTAGTTGGAAAGAGGCAGAAGTGTCCTGAAAGAAGAAAACTTCAGCAAACACATTGAGATATTTCCCACTAGTAGGACACTTCAGCCTCTTTTCAAGCATGGAGAAGCATAGAGCTCATCACATGTGTTAAACTACTTTTGGCCGTTGTGCATAACCCTCCGTAGTTGGAAAGAGGCAGAAGTGTCCCGAAAGAAGAAAACTTCAGCAAACACATTGAGATATTTCCCACTAGTAGGACACTTCAGCCTCTTTTCAAGCATGGAGAAGCATAGAGCTCATCACATGTGTTAAACTACTTTTGGCCGTTGTGCATAACCCTCCGTAGTTGGAAAGAGGCAGAAGTGTCCTGAAAGAAGAAAACTTCAGCAAACACATTGAGATATTTCCCACTAGTAGGACACTTCAGCCTCTTTTCAAGCATGGAGAGTCATGAAGCTCATCACATGTGGTACTTCCAGCTGTTATGGATAGTCCTCCGTGGTTGAAAAGAGATCTAAGTGTCCTGAGCGAAAGGAACTCCAGTAATCACGTTGAGACATTTCCCCCTGGTAGGACACTTCAGCCACCTTCCATGCATGGAGAGTCATGAAGCTCATCACATGAGGTAAACTACTTCCAGCTGTTATGGATAGTCCTCCATGGTTGAAAAGAGATCTAAGTGTCCTGAGAGAAGGAACTCCAGCAATCACATTGAGACATTTCCCCCTGGTAGGACACTTCAACCTCCTTCCAAGCATGGAGACTCATGAAGCTCATCACATGAGGTAAACTACTTCAGGCCATCATGAGGTAAACTACTTCCGGCCATCATGGATAGTCCTCCATGGTTGGAAAGAGACAAAAGTGTCCTGAGAGGAGGGAACTCCAGCAATCACATTGAGACATTTCCCCCCAGTAGGACACTTCAGCCTCTTTTCAACCATGGAAGGCTATGCACAATGGCAGGAAGTAGTTTAACTCATGTGATGAGTTCAGTGCTTCTCCATGCTTGAAAAGAGCCTGAAGTGTTCTGAAAGGAGGGAACTCCAGAAATCGACCTCATAACATTGTGACATTTCCCCCTAGTAGGATACTGCGGTGGGATGAAAATCATGCATAGTTCACCTTTTACCAGTCCACACACTGTCTTGCCAGAGAAATAAAATATGCCACACAGATGATCAGTAAAGAACAGGAAGTTTACACTTTGTGATGCCAAGCAACATATATATACAGTTGTGAGAACAGTTGTATTGACTCACACAATGACATTTGAGAGAGATTCAAATGGTACTGTGACTGTGTCAGCTGCATTAAGATCACTACTGACCGAAAGGTCATGAGTTCGAAGCCAGCCCGGGTCGGAGTGAGCTTCCGACCAATTGTGTAGCTTGTTGTCGACCTTTGCAACCCGAAAGACAGTTGCATCTGTCAAGTAGGAAAACTAGGTACCACCTATGTGTGGGGAGGCTAAATTAACTAATTTATGAGGCCATAAAAAAGACTCCAGCAAAGCACGCGGGGAATGCGGAAGTACTTCATCAGTGTCGCAGATGGACGATGGAAGCAGCCAGAAAAGTTAAATAACCTCTGTCTGTCTATATGTATTGTGTATCTTTGGCACTGTTTGCCATATATGTGAACATTGTAATCCGCCCTGAGTCCCCTGCGGGGTGAGAAGGGCAGAATATAAATATTGTAAATAAATAAATATTTAGGTGCCTATGTGGAAGATCCTTTTCCAGCAGCTCACGAAGCAAGAACTCTCTCTCTCTTTCTCTGAGCTCTTGCACAGCTAAAGCCTAAATATGTAACTGTTGCCAAAACTCCCAGACTCAGCTAGCTGGTTTTCAGATATTGTTGCTCTTGATTAAAAACAAAAAAGTAATACTGACTGTGTGATGAATGCAAGATGGTATTGCCAGCTCTCAAGTTTCCAAGTATGAGTCCGATGGGGAGGCAGAACCCGAAATGAGACTGCTGATGATATAAGAGGGGCGATTCCCTCTGCTAAAAGGATGGTCACCCACACTTTCCCTTCTCAATGTGATGAGGTTGTAGGTCGAAAGCATCAATCTCATTATCATAGACGTCCAATATCCGTCTTATTATGAGTGCCTTCAAAGAGCTGTCAAATCCATAGAGGGAAAATTCGTGGTAACAAAGGGCAGGCCATAATTTTGCTTAGATAATGGTTGGCACTGTTTTGTTTCTACCCAGTTTGGGACCCCATTGGTCACTGAATGACAACCCCTATCACTTTTGATGACTGGGGATCATGGGAATTGCAACCCAACAGAACTTGTGGCTCTGAAGTTGGAGGAAAGGTTAAAGGACGTTTTCAAGTCAGGCTTCATATCCACAAGTCTTGTATCTCAATCACTCTAGCTCAGATATGGGCAAATTTGGGTCCTCCCTGTGTTTTGGATTCCAACTCCCACCATTCCTAACAGCCTCAGGCCCTTTCCTTTTCCCCCTCAGCCTTAAGCGGCTGAGGGGGAAAAGGAAGGGGCCTGAGGCTGTTAGGAATGGTGGGAGTTGCAGTCCAAAACACTTGAAGGGAAGACCCAAGTGCTATGCAGTCATGGGACTTGGAGTCTGACAAGTTTGGCCCTCCCTACCCAATATTTCATTTACAAAATATGTCCCCTGTAGTCATTTTTCTAGATCCTCCAGAGAGATGCCTTATCTAACCAGCGTCCCTCCTTCTGACGAAATGGCAACTCGCCTTGGCACGGATCAGCGAAGGATCTTCACCTTCCTTGGCAGGAGGTTTGCGCTTTCATTTCCCCTCCATCCTCCGCCCCATCCCAGCATGCGAATTTCATCAATACAGCTCCAATCCAATACTGGAGCATCCATTCCACATATAGGCATTCCTCCAAATACCAAAGGAAGGAAGGAAGGAAGGAGAAAGAGAGAGAGAGAATGAGAAAGAAAAGGAAGGAGAGAATGAAGGAAGGAAGGAAGGAAGGAAGGAAGGAAGGAAGAGGAAGGAGAGAAAAAGAGGGAAGGAGAAAGAAAGGGGAGGAAAGCAAGGAAGAAGGAAAGGAAGGAAGGAGAGAAAGAGGGAAGAAGGAAGGAAGGAAGGAAGGAAGGAAGGAAGAAGGAAGAGAAGGAAGGAGGAGAAAGAAAGGAGTATGGAAAAGAAGGAAGGAAGTAAGGAGAGAAAGAAAGGAAGGAGAGAAAGGAAGGAAGGCAAGAAAGAGAGATAAAGAAGGAAGGAAGGAAAGAAAGAAGACAGGAGAAAGAGAGAAAGAAGAGAAAGAGAAAGAAAGGGAAGGAGAGATAGAGGAGGGAAGGAGGGAAGGAGAAGGAAAGGAGGGAAGAAAGAAAGGGGAGGAGAAAGCAATGCAAGATATGGAAAGGAAGGAAGGAGAGAGAGAAAGGAAGAAAGGAAAATAGGAGAAAGAGAGAGGAAAGAAGAGAATGAAAAAGAAAGGGAAGGAGAGATAGAGGAAGGAAGGAAGGAAGGAAGGAAGGAAGGAAGGAAGGAAGGAAGGAAGGAAGGAGGAAGGAAGGAAGGAAGGAAGGAAGGAAAGAAAGAAGGAAGGAAGGAAGGAAGGAAGGAAGGAAGGAAGGAAGGAAGGAAGGAAGCAAGGAAGGAAGGAAGGAAGGAAGGAAGGAAGGAAGGAAGGAAGGAAGGAAGGAAGGGAGAAGAGAAGGAAGAAGAGAAGGAAGGGAGAAAGGAAAGAAGGAGAGAAAGGGAGAGAGAGGGGGGAATGAAAGGAAAGGAGGAGGAAGGGAGGAAGGAAGAAGAGAAGGCAGGCAGATAGGAAAAGAAAGAAAGGGGGGAGAAAGAAAGGGGAGATGAAGGAGAAGGAAGGAGAGGAAGAGAGAGAAAGGAGGAGAGAAAGGAAGGAAGGAAGGAGAAAGGAAAGGAAAAGGAAGAGGAAAGGAAGGAGGAAGGAAGGAAGGAAAAGAAGGAAAGGAAAGGAAAGGAAAGGAAAGGAAAGGAAAGGAAAGGAAAGGAAAGGAAAGGAAAGGAAAGGAAAGGAAAGGAAAGCCAGACTAGGATTCCAAAATAGTCCCACTGGCCAATAGACAGTATTGTTTTACATTTGGTTTCCCATATTGGGATTTTAAAAAGTGGGGCAGAAACAAATCAATCAGTTGATTAGATTAGATTTGGCTCTAGTTTTTCATCTGTTTGGAGGTGTGGTTTTAGATTTATCTCTCATTTCTCCTCAACAGTTACCATTACAAACACTTTAACACCTAATCTCCTTTGGGTCTAAATCCAGCGTGAAAAGCAGGGTGCAAATAATAATAATAATAATAATAATAATAATAATAATAATAATAATAATAATAATAATGTTATAAGAATGCTATTTTAGATCAAGCAAAAGGCTGAGCAATCTCAATGGTTTGCCCATCTTGTAAGGGCATGCATTTGGTCACAGTGAGTAAATAATAACAAGAGCAATAGCAACAACAACAACATTTAAAAACAACTTTTTAAAAAGTGTCTTTTTTCAATGGGAATCTTTGAAATCAAAGCAAGTCAACTTACGGATGGAAGAATTCAAGCAAAGGGGGTGAACCCAACCCAAGTTAAGACAAGCACAGGGTGCATCCACACTGTAGAATTAATGTAGTTTGACACCATTGCTCAATGGCTTAAGGAGAGAAGATAGGAGGGAGGGAGGGAGGGAGGAAAGAAAGAATGAAAGAAGGAAGGAAGGAAGGAAGGAAGGAAGGAAGGAAGGAGAGACATAGAAGGACGAGGAAGGAATGAGTTGTAGGTGTTGGGTGTTGTTTGGTGAGGAATCAACACTCTTGGGCAGAAGAGGCTTGAGACATTATCAAACTACGATTCCCAGGATTCCATAACACTGAGCTGTGGCCATTAAAGTGGTGTCAAACTGCATTAATTCTGAGTGTAGATGTGCTCCCAATCAAGGTGAACTCAACCAAGGTGAGAACTTCACAGTGGTAGGAACCAAGGTGAATGTACTGAGGAAGGGCATCAAAATGGGGTCTTGCATTGACCCTCATTGCAATCCTCTGAGTCTTAGATGAGTCCCTTTTGCACAATCGGGGGAGGAAGGCGGGCTAGATCTCTATCAGGATGGGGAAAATGCCGGCGTCTCCACCCCCCTGAGCAAATCTCTCCATTTCCTAAGGAGACCAGGCCAAAGGTTTCCATCCTGGATCATCTCATTGAGCTTAATCCCAAACACAACCCACCAAGGGAGCACATTTGAAATCAATCAATCCCTTCCCCAAAGAGGGTTCCAAAAAGTTTGATGCATTGGAGACATCCAAGGGTGGGAATTTGTCCAATGGAGATGTCCAGGAAGCTTGGCCCTCCGTTTCACCTTGATCCAATTTCCCCCATCCTTCTTCACCCTGTTTTTTGAGAAGGAAATGAGCTGTCTTCGTTCTCAAACATCCCCTAATAATTCCCCCTTTTCGCCAGCGGAACAAACACAAGGGATTACTTTTGGAAGAAACCATAATTGCATGTTTACAAACATCTCCCTCCGCACAAACACTTGAGAGACTCACCTCTGCCTTCCTTTGCTTGGATGCCAAATCAGGGAGCGCCTCTTGGCTCCTTCGGTGCAGCCTCTGCTTTCCCCCAAGCTGCGGACATAGGTGTGTCCAGGTTTTCCTGTTGCAAAAATAATATATATAGCAAAGCACCAGCCCTGCAAATCCCCTCAGAGCTGCAGCGAAGAGACAAAGGATGCTGAGAGAGAGAGAGAGAGAGAGGAAGGGATGCTGAAAACAGAGGGATGCTGGCTCTTTCAAAGGATGTGGGCATGGACCACTTCTGGCCTCTTTTTGCCAAAGACTGCGGAAAGAGAGAGAGACAGCTGATGCCTCAAGTCCTTTTTGCAAGAGCTGCAGCAGAAACTGATTTCTCCTCCATCCTGTCAGTCACTAAGCAAGCCAGGGGTGTGTGTTTGTGTTGTCTAAGGATGGAGGGATGGATAGATAAGAAGAGAGGGCCTTTCTCTGCTTCTTCTCCTTCTCCTCAGCCCATCTGGAGAGACCTCCCTCCTTTCCATCTGCTTGCATTCAGAGGCTCTTCCTCCTCCCTTCCTTCCAGGTTCATCTCTCTCTTCTTTGCTGAATGTCACAGAAGCATTAAGGGAGGGGAAACGGGGAAAGGGAGGGCTGGGCTTCCCGGCCAGGTTTCTGCTTTCTCAGCCCGGCATCATCCTCATCACAGCTTCCCTTAAAGGGGCCCACGGGATTATCCTCTTAAAGGAGGACTAGAAGCAAGCCGGCCAAGGCCAGCAGTGTCCAACCCATTTTCTGCAAGGCACAGGCGGTTTCAGGGCTCTTCCTTGCCCTTTATCCCCAGCTGGATCAGCCACCAAGTTGCTAGTCCTCAGCGAGGTCAGATGCATGGCACAAGCTCCAAAACAGTTGCAATTGGCAATTATGAGCATGTGCTTCACTAGTTACCTTTTGGTCTAATCTCAATTTTAGTATTATTGTTCGCCTTGTACTTTAATCGTATTGAATTTAATAAGTAAAATCTACATGTGGATCAGCCACTAAGTTGCTAGTCCTCAGTGAGATCAGATGCACAGCACAGGTCCAAACAGTTTGCAGTTGGCGATTATGGGGATGTGCTTCTCTAGATATATTTTGGTCTAATATCAATTTTAGTATTTTTTCCTTGTATTTTAATAGTATTGAATTTAATAAGCAAAATCTAAATTCAGATCAGCCACCAAGTTGCTAGTCCTCAGCGAGATCGGATGCACATCAAAGTCCCCAAAAAGGCTGCAATGGATGGCTATGGGGATGTGCTTCGCTAGCTACATTTTGGTCGAATCTCAATTTTAGTATTATTGTTTACATTGGATTTTAATAGCATTTAATTTAATCAGGAAAATCTAAATTCAGATCAGCCACCAAGTTGCTAGTCTTCAATGAGGTAAGATGCATGGCACAGGCCCCAAAAAGGTTGCAATGGATGGTTATGCGGATGTGCTTCGCTATCTACATTTTGGTCGAATCTCAATTTTAGTATTATTGTTTACATTGGATTTTACTAGTATTGAATTTAATCAGCTAGATCTAAATGCAGATCAGCCACCAAGTTGCTAGTCCTCAGTGAGGCCAGATGCACAGCACAGGCCCCAAAATATTGCAATTGGCGATTATGAGGATGTGGTTCGCTAGTTATATTTTGCTTTAATCACAGTTTTACTATTATTGCTTACATTGAACTTTACTAGTATTGAATTTAATAAGCAAGATCTACATGTGGATCAGTCACCAAGTTGCTAGTCCTCAGCGAGATCAGATACACAGCACAGGCCCAAAAAGGTTGCAATAGCTGAATATGAGGATGTGCTTTGCTAGTTGTATTTTGATGTAGTCTCAATTTTAGTATTATTGTTCACATTGGATTTTAATAGTATTGAATTTAATAAGCAAGATCTAAATGTGAATTCTTTTGTGTCGTATTATTTATGTAAAAGTACTTATATTGTTTTAAATTGCATTGTATTTATTGATCTGTATGCAAATTGCCTAAACACGGGCCAATTACTCAATGGGGTTTCCTTGCAAAATATCTTCAGGTTCTTGTGGTTTTTTTCGGGCTATATGGCCATGTTCTAGAGGCATTTTCTCCTGACGTTTCGTCTGCATCTATGGCAAGCATCCTCAGAGGTAGAGAGGTAGACGAAACGTCAGGAGAAAATGCCTCTAGAACATGGCCATATAGCCCGAAAAAAACCACAAGAACCTATTGATTCCAGCCATGAAAGCCTTCGACAAAATATCTTCAGCTAATAAAAGATGGGTAAACATTGCAGTTTGATGGCACACAACAACAACAACAACAACAACAACATGCCTATTCTAGAAGTCAAGCTTTCATCTCTTGTCTTTCTTGCATTTTGTTGCATTCACCGTTCTTTCCTTATTGCAAAACAACATGGTATGGAAACATCCTTCCCTGTTGAACTTCTGCCCGACATATTCAAGATTGGGATGAAAGGTTTCCCAAGCACAGAAGGTGCTTCCAGGTGAAGCTTTTACGGGGCATCTTTCTGCGAATGAATAAAACAAAAGGCAATTCTGCTTGCGGCTTGCAAGAAAAGCAGTGATAGGAAATGCGTCTGGGTGCAATTTACACCTGGGAGGACTTTTAAGCAGAATAGAAGCCAACGTGGTGTAGTGGTTTGAGAACTGGACTAGGCTCAGGGTCCAGATCCTCACTGAAAACCATTGGGTGACTTTGGGTCACATTCTCTCATCCTCAGAGGAAGGCAAAGGCACAAGAAAACTCAAAGATACCGTCACTATAAGTTGGAAACCATTGCAAAGGACATCAACACCCTGGAATTGGTCCAAAGAAGGGCAAACAAAATGACCAAATGTTTGGAAACCAAGCCGTACGACTGACATGAGGTCCGGCTTGTTTCGTTTGGGGAAGAGGAAACCGAGAAGTGACACGAGAGCTATCTGCAAATAACTGAAGGGATGTCATGGGGACAAGAGAGCAACTCCGGAGTTTGGGATGTCAGCCAATGGATTCAAATTACATGAAAAGGGATTCCAAATAAATATTAGGAAGAGCTTCCTGGTGGGAAGTCATTTGGCAGAGCAAAGGGTAGGGGACTCTGCTTCTTTGGAGGTCTTCAAACAGAAGTTTCGTGGCCATCTCTCAAGCATTGTGTTTGGAAGTGGGTGGGACTAGATGGCCTTTGTGGAGCCCAATTCTTTGATGGCAAAAATAGTATCCGTTACTATTGACCCGGAGCCCCCGGTGCGCAGTGGGTTAAAGCACTGAGCTGCTGAGTTTGTTGACCGAAAGGTTGCAGGTTTGAAACCGGGGAGTGGCGTGATCTTCCACTGTCAGCCCCAGCTTCTGCCAACCTAGCAGTTCAAAAACATGCAAATGTGAGTAGATCAATAGGTACCGCTTCAGCGGAAAGGTAATGGCACTCCATGCAGTCATGCTGGCCACATGACCTTGGAGGTGTCTATGGACAACGCCGGCTCTTCGGCTTAGAAATAGAGATGAGCACCAATCCCCGGAGCCAGACACAACCAGACTTAATGTCAGGGGAAAACCTTTACCTTTATCTAATGGGTTGCTGTGAGTTTTCCAGGCTATATGGCCATGTTCCAGAAGCATTCTCTCCTAACGTTTCGCCTACATCTATGGCAGGCATCCTCAGAGGTTTTGAAGTCTGTTGGAAACTAGGAAAATGGGGTTTATATATATAACAACAGAGAAGAAACAAACAAGGACATCTAATCACCTCTCAACAAAAGATTGCTCCAGGCACTGCCAGGC